GACGATTTTCGAAAATTTATGGTCTCTGGACTTTTTACGTATTATAATACTCCAATCACTTGTAAATCTAAAAAGTGCTTACTCTTTGTGTTACGATCATCATCTTTCAGATTTTCTGTCCTAGAACTTTCATTTTGCTGATTACGTAACAACAATTTTTTGTTCTCCTAACTTCAATTTTTGATGATTTTCTTCTTCTACTTTTTATTTTCTTTTCATTCCAGTGAAATTTTCAAGGCTTGTTATTCATACCATAACGTAACTTTATACCGGTGAAAAATAAAATCAATACTTTTATAAGAGAGTTACATGATTGATTATGTAACCGAATTCAGAGGCATGAGACGGTAGGTCAGTTATCCATCTCTCACTTTTTCCTATTCCAGATATCCATAATCTCAACAGTACAACATTTTGTATTGAGTATATCTTTCAACATACCAAATTTGAAAGTTGGTAATCCCTTTTAATTTTAGGAAAGCTGTTTATTTTCAATTAGGCGGCCGTTACCATGGCAACCGTAGACTTGAACAAAACAAATTAAAGTTTACGTTTCACATGTTTTCCTGTTATACCTCCTTGCTATAAGGCTTTATCTAAAAGGGCCATAGTTACCGAGATAGGTTTATAAACCTGCCCCCCCCCCTTCCTTAAACAGGCAGACATATTGGACAGAGTCATTACAATAATAGATAACACAAGAGGGGGTTGTTTGTACAGGTGATTGTCTTGTACAGGTGATTGTCTTGGACAGGTGGTTGTCCTGTATAGATGATTGTCTTGTACAGGTGATTGTCTTGTACAGGTGATCGTCTAAGACAGGTGGCTACGAGACCAGGTTTGACATTACTTTATATAGCCTTGTGGTTAGGCACCAGATTTGTAATCGTGAGGTTGCAGGGTTCGGGGGTTCGAGCCTCAGTCCTATACGCGAATTGTCCTCCAGGTGGGAATGGGTACCCGGGCGTAGACAGTGAAACATTTTGTTAGTTTGTTTGTTTTTTAGCTTGTGTAAAATGGCAACTTGTACTGTAAGCTTCCAAGGAAGTTGAGCTTGTTTGAGAATACTGTCAGGTCTGCTATGGTTATGATACTAATGTTATGGATTGTAAAGTGCATAGACTTTGCTGTTAAGCTGGAGTTTTCGGCTGTCATTATTATTATTATTATTATTA